TTTCCAATTTTAAAGCAAAATTTTGTTAAATTCGCTAATATTAAGAAAATTGTGAAATATGGGACATTTTTATTTAAATTGCAATTTCTTATCATATTTTTTGGCATCCTGAGTGACCTACCTGAGTATCCTAAAAAATACTCCATAGTAGCGGCTCAGGGGCGTAGTTTATCTAGGGGGATTACATTTTAAAAATAATTAAATAACTTGGGAGATGCACGAATATATTAATTTTTGACACAATTTTCAATTTTTATTTGTAAGTATTTACCAAAAACAACAATAAATGAACGAAAACAACAACATCGCTTTTCTGGAAACTCTAGGCTGTATCCCAAAACCACAGGGAGTAATGCCACGCATCGTAGAAGTTGACAGTTGTACGCCTTATCGAAACTAAAATTCATTTACGGAATAGGTACTACCTTGTTGGATATGAATGGACGAATTACGAGTATTATAGACCTTTTAATTCTGATATTTATACAGGGTGTCCCACCGAGAACCAAATCGATCTATATATGAAAAACTGTATGCCGACTTTTTTAAAAATTTCACGCTATACTAATGTCAATAGGGGCAACCCCGGTAAAATATTTTCAAGATGGTGGTATACTTTCGGTTATACAGGCGGAAGTAGACGTCAACTTGCTTATTTCAAATGAAAGATCCTATATAATATATTATTTAATTTTTGGTTTCTACTCAAGAATCTAGACAGATTCCGTGTATAATGCCTTATACCTAAGTCTAAGCATTTTTGACATATCTAAGTTTTTATGTAAAAAATAACGTGTGCAGGCCCCAAAATAATTATGAATTTTTCAAATAAAATAGTATACAAACTTCGGAGGAAAGTTTTCATTTATGTCTCGAGATGAGTGAATCTCGACGCTGGGCTTATTGATTGACTATATAAATATCTCGACAGTAATGAAACACTTCTCTAATCGGTATATAATGTACCTACTATTTTTTTGTCGATTTTGCTACGGATGTCAAGTTCGGCTAGTTGTCAATGACGGCATTGAAAGATAATCTAATGGTGGCTTCTATTTTTGCGGATACTAATGGAAAACGTGTCATGCTTTTGATATAACTTTAAATAATCTTCGTTTGTTTAATTTAAGCGGCCAGACACTATTATTGATACATTTCAAATGGTAAATGAGGGCTTAATACTAACCTACATTTCTTTAGAAGCAGATTATTTTTCAACGCCGTCATTGACAACTGAACTTGAAATTGGTAGCAAAATCGCCATAAAAGAAAATATTAAATTGGCGATATTTCGGAAACTAAACATAACATTTTCGGAATAGACAACTTTACACAAACTTACCCCTATTTTCAATGCTGAATAAGATAAAATTATTAAATTCGGAGACTTCCATCAGGCGCGGTCCCAGGATTTCCTACAGGGGGGAGGGCGCAAAATGAAAAAGTACTTGCCATACAGCTAAAAGTTATGTATTACTGTAAATGTAAATAATACATTAACAGCAGCAACATTACATCCTAATAACGATAATTATGGATAAAATAAAAATTAATAAACCTATCAACTAAATTTTGTATACATTTACATAACAAAATCAAGTTTGCTTTTTTGCTCAGCAAATCTGTCAATAATGCGCTCTATATCAGATCAATATTTCGGTGTAGTGTCCAGGAAATAGCGTAAAAGCTCTCCACTACACTACGTAATAGGGGATCTTTCGAGTAGGGAGTAGGTAACCCTAGAAAAATAATTGGAAAAATCCTTCTGGACTATTCTTGGTAATATGAAGAAGTGGATGTGGAAGTGTTAGGTACCTATCTTTCGTTGATTCATAACATGATGGTTTATAAAAATTTGTTGTTAGCCTTTAAAAATTTTAAAACGCATTATAAAAATGGCAAAATCTTTAAATTACAACAGGAAAAACTGATCTGACAACCAAGGTCCTCCATCACGTACTGAAGAGTTTTTACGCTGTTTTCCGGACATCCTGTAGGTATATAAAAGAGCAAGACCATTAAGTCGTTCTTGTATTACTGTAGAGCGCAGATAAGTTTTCAGAAGTCTCAACGTAGAAAAACTACGTTCTGCAGTGGCTACAAACACGGGACCCGTTGAAATTATTCGGAGAATTGAAATAACTTGTATCTGTAGTTAATTATTGTATTGTGTATGTTTTGTTTATTTGCTTATACCATAAAATTATGGCCGTGGATGGCTGAGGGGGGGGGCGCGCCCCTGCGCATCCCCCCCCCTGGGACAGTGCCTGGTTTCCATTTGAAATAATGTATTATCGGCAGTTTTCTCATTATTTTTTTTTAATCCTATTTTTTGAGCCCCCAGTATTAATACCTAGTTGTCAAAATATTATAAAAAATATATTGCAGTAGGTCCTTGTCAACAAGGAATGCAACTGAAATCAAATATCAAAAGATTTTTTATAGGAAAAATTCATATAATTATTTTGGAGCCTGCAAACCTAATGTTTGACATAAAACTTAAATATGTCAAAAATGCTTAGACTTAGGTTAAGACATTATGCATGGAATCTGTCCAGAATCTTGAATATAGAATCCAAAACTGAAATAATATATAGGGTGTCTCATTTAAAATAAGCAAGTTGACGTCTACTTCCGGTATAACCGAAAATGCCTTATCTTGAAAATATTTTAGCCAGGTTGCCTCTATTGACATTAGAATACTGTCAAATTTTCAAAAATTTTATGCATACAGTTTTTCATATACAGTGTGATTTTTTAAGTGTGCAACATATGGGGATTTTTTTTAGTAATAGCACAACCCAAATACAAACAAGGCCAAAAGTTGGTGCATGTCTGATAATCATATTAGGTGCACTTAGAATGGTTGCAAGTCAAACAGCATACAGGGTAGCTCAAACAATATCAAAGCTGGTACTGTAAAGTACCCTCATTTTAGAAAATTCAGCAAAATGTTATAGAGAAAAGTTGTTTGGAATTAAAAGTTATGCCTAAATACCAAAACATAGCCTCCTAAGATTTTTTTTATTTTTTTTCGAAAAAAATCTATAATTTTTATATTTTTTTTAATTTTTATTTCCGCCCTTGAGACTTTCAAAAATTAATTAAAATCAAATCAATTTTACATAACTTTGTTCAAATTCAAGCATATTTGTAAAATTAACTTAGATTTTTAATTTTTTATGGAATCACAAAATTCATGTTTGTTGCAATGATATTCAACACAACTTTAAAATTTCCAAATTTTTTTTTTAACAAGTTAAAACATTACTAATGATAATAGCCATATTAAAAAAACTCTCCTTAAAGTGCAAAACTTTTATTTTATTTAAGTAAATATATGTAGAATTTTGATATTTATTGAGCCACCCTGTATGCTGTTTGACTTGCAAACATTCTAAGTGCACCTAATATGATTATGAGACATGCAACAACTTTTGGCCTTGCTTGTATTTTGATTGTGCTATCACTAAAAAAAAATCCCATATGTTGCACACTTAAGTAATGACACTATATAGATCAATTTGGTTCCCGGTGGGACACTCTATATCTCCCAATTTATTTAATTATTTTTAAAATTTGATCCCCCTAGATAAACTACGCCCCTGATCTGCTACTATAGAGTATTTTTTAGGGTACTCAGGTCACTCATGATGCCAAAAACTATCACAAGAAATTGCAATTTAAATAAAAAAGTCCCATATTTTACAATTTTCTTAATATGTAGGTATTAGCAAAGTTAACAAAATTTTGCTTTAAAATTGGAAATTTGGCCGCCATTTTGAAAATTTTATAGTTATAAAAAAATATGTTTAAAATTGACCTCAGCGATGTCAAATCAATATAAAATGACATATTACTCGCCCGCATTGGTTATTATTTGATTTATTTGCAAATTCAACCCCCTCAGAGTATACTCCGCTCCTGAGCTGCTCCATAGGGGTATTTTTTTGGGTACTGCGAGCAAAATCTCTTAATTTGACCTATTTAAGGTGCCTACCAAGTTTCATGCTTTTAACACAATTTGCAGGGTTTTTTTGTTAACCGCTAGGACTAGTACTCATAACCGCGAATTGTGGGTTTTTATTTGGCGGATTTTTTTCTATTGGTCGAATATATTTAAATCTGTCAAATTTAAATATACTCCTGGACAAAATTATTGCACCACTGCTCATGTGATTCTTATGTGAAGTGGTGCGATAATTTTGTCTAGGAATATATAATCGATCAATAGAAAAAAATTCGCAAAATGAAAATCCGCAATTCGCGGTTATGAGTACTAGGCTTATAAGCCTTGGTTTTGTGTCAATCAATAGCTGTCTTTCTCCGGCTCTTTACGTTATATCTTTCTTCTCTCTCTCGAGTAACGAAATTTTCCCGTGACGCGTTTTTCAAATCACTCTCCATTGTTGTCCAAATATCAGAACGCCGCCTAAGAAGTTTCACTTAATACACTGTATAAACAAAAATATTTAAGTTATAATTGTGCCAAAAATATAAATCATTTTTCGCAGAGAAAATTCCAAATTACATACTGTTTCATTTTCCTGGAAAAGTTTTTTGACCCCTTGTGACGCACCAAAAAAAATTAATGCTTTTATCTTCAGCAGAAATTGCATTCTGCGGTTATACAAAATCCCGAAACGTCACTTTTGTCGGACACAGAAAAAAAAGGGTAAATGACCATCGACCATCATTGATCATCAGCAAGTAAAATCTGAAATCTGAATCTTCTTCGAGTGTCCATATTATCATCGCGATGGCAGCACCGATCAGCGACCGTGGCCGCCGATCGTTGCCCGTCGATTCCGGCGGAATTCCTGCAGCCCGCGACCGCAAGAATCTTGCTCTTCTTTATCCTCGGGCCATGAAAGGACGCTTAGCGTCGCGACGTTGACGTCACTTCTTTGCCGGTGGACCATCCGAGGAGTCATCCCCGCCCCTGTCGGTATTTAAACTGGCGGCGCGCCACTCCATCCGAGTTCATTTCTCGGCCGTCCCTCGTGCAAGAAGAATTTACACTGGGACGTCTCTAATCGCGAAACGCGATTCTTCTATTTTTTTTTTACTAACTATCTTTGTGAGGGTGAAAAAGATAATTCGTTCGTGAGTGCGAAAAATTTATTCAAGCAAAAGACTCCCTTCTATGAACTGCCAAGAAGCGAATTGAGCGATTGAGGATTTTGGTGTTTTTAGTTCCAGATAGTTTGATTAGAGGTAAGAGTGTGAGCAAAAAGTTTCCAAGTGGATTATTTTTTATTATTGTGCTACCAAAAAGTGATTCTAGTGTCTCCCTGATTGATGCATGGTGCTCAAACTGGATTACCTATGTTACATGTGAAATTTTGCGAATAATGATATGTATTAAAAAATAAAAATAAATAAAAAAATCAAAATGTCAAATAATTTTTAAAAAAATAAATAAATCAAATTGTCAAAAAAAATAATCAAAAAATGGCTCACAGTAATCTTATCGATCTTAAAAATAATTTAGAAAAATTTTTCAAAGATCAATAATTTGCATTCAAAACGAACTTGATGAAAATGTCGATGACTAAAAATATCTGATATTTTGATATTTGGAATATCAAATTAGAATAATCTAAAGATAACATCGTAAGAAGCCAATAAACCTTGAAATTAGCTTAAAAATTTAGTAACTAAAAAATTTTTAGACATCATGTGTCCTTAAACCACTTTAAGCCTTTGAAAATATTTTTTTAGAAAGTTGCTGCTTTAGCCCATAATTGAACTCTTTTTTTTTTTCTCTGTACCAGAAATAACTAAAAATATTTATTTAAATCAGTTAAACTTCGCAAAATTGATCATATTATTATTTTCCTTTATAACAATTTAAAAAGGTTAAAGACACACCTAAGTAAGTACCTACCATAAAAACGGCATTTCGGTAACATAATGAGCAACAAACAACAGCCGAGCAGTACATGAATGGGCGCCAAGACTTGTTAAACTTGACATTAAACTTGACAATGAAAAGTTAACATTATTCGCTCGTTTGTAAAAGATCAGTTTACTACTACTGGAATTTACGCGCCTGGTACTTATAATAACCGAGTCTAATTAACGTAAACTGCATTTGCATATTTGCATAGGGAACGATAATTGGACCTTTTCTCTAATTGAAATTTTGTTCCAAACTCTTAGTCTTTTGTAGCAAAGTAAAACTTTTTGAAAAAAATATGCCAAAAATCTTACAAAATCATCTACAAGCTCAATAGTCCATAAAAAAATTGAATTTGGTCATTTGCCGAAGTGGCCCATGGTCAAAATTATTGATAAACGTACTACATTGCCAATAATTTGCACTGCAAATGTTTAATTTGTATGCGTATAGTGCAACTTGATTGTGTATTTAAGAATTTATTTTGCAGTAGGTATCGGATTTCGGTGATAAATATCAATAAACTTTAACAGATTGATTGAATAATTTACTTTGCTACAAAAAATTCTGAGCTTCCTTTCGAAAATGTCTATATCTTTATAAAAAAATAGATCCACAATTATTAATTTCTATTCTATAAAGTTTCAAATCTCTAACACAGAAAACACTTAACTCAAATCTTCTTTTGCTGAATCTGGTTATCTCACGCAAAATTACACTGGAAACTTTTTGAAATTTGAAAAAACTGCATTTTCACTTTCTATCTACCTATCACATTATTCCTACCACTAGAATAAAGTTATTGAAAAATTGTAGATTTGGTTCTAGGAACTTATTTTTCATTAATTTGTGTTACCGAAATCAATAATTTGTATTTTATATACCACACCAATCTTGCAAGTATCTTACCAACACATTATCAAGAAGCTTACGAGATTGATTATTCGGCCCTAAACTGGAATTTTTTATACATATATAAGGCTTTCTTTCTAATTTTTATTGATAAATTGAAGTAGGCATAACTAATTTAAATTTTGTAACCAAATAATACACAGAAATAATCTACCAGATATTCAAGAATAGGCTTTATGAAGCTTATTGAGAAGGTATTTGAACTCTTTGAAACATTTTTTCTCCTGGAGGTTATTATTCCTAGTCCGCCTCTGAATAATGCAATGGAAAAAAAAATATATTTTTCTCTTTAGTTGTAGTAGTGACCTTTTTGATTCAGAAAACAGAAAAATGTATTTTTCACGTCTGTGCACTTACAGGGCACAATACAGCTTTCTGTTTACTTTAAAGTGCCAATATTTGCCCATATTTATTACATTTAGCCTTGTTGGCTGGCTGGTTGGCAAGCAGAGAGAGGCTTCTTTTAGTATGTTTTTTTTTTCTATTTGACTTATCTACCTGTTGTGAAACATTGCAGTCGAAATTGAGCATCAATGAAAAAATCAAGCGTTTTCAAGAGGTTCATCTTATTTGATGGCTCTATCCACATTTCTTTATCTCCCGCCGCTCTTTTCAAGATTCAGAAATCGCTTGAATCTTTTGTAGTTTTTTTGAAGTTTCAATACGAATAAGTGTCATGAAAAGTTGATTGAGGTATTTAGCTAAGTAATATGGATTTAAGTAAGAAATTCCTTCAGGCACATTTAATGATGATAAGTATAAAAAATAGTCTGTTGGCCTCATTTGATTTTGATACACCTTTATTTTAATATTAATAATGTGTCAATTTTCAATAATGTCTGATGACTAAAAATCCAGGGTTATCGACCCGCGATTTTTTACACTTTTGTTCATGATACTTATCGTGTGATTTAAAAATAAAGTCTCTCCTTAAGTAAACAGACACACAAATAATAAAGAAATACTTAAGTCATAATCTCTTTCTCACCCATCTTGTTGACACCTCAGAGCCACTAACCAATGTTTGTCTATTTCTTCGCAGTCACTTGTGACCGATCATTACAAACACTCTGTTCCCGCGGAGGAAGAAGAATCTAAGACAATATTGAACTCCGGTTATACTTAAAAGTTCAAATACACCCACCCATGGTCACTTTTGATGGACTATTATTTGAACTTGTAATATAAACTTTTAACTGTAAAATGCATTCAAAAAATTGTTTGCATATCCTTCAAAACTTAAAAGGACTTTATGTTTATAATTCACCATGGGAAATCACAATTAATATCTGGTTACATGTTATAACTTAATCTCGTCCAAAAAAACTTGTACCTGTTTCCCGGAGGGTCCTTATCTCAAATGTTATACCACAATAAATGTCTCATAAAGTTATTTAAAACAGAAGTTCTTTTTAGAGTGGTATCTGATGCGAACGTGATAGTGAGCGTTTTGGGGTCTTTATAAGTGTTGAGAATTGCATCCGGAAGACAATTTATCAAGTGGAGAGGTTATTAAAACGGTTTAAAAGGCACATCTGGGCTTTAAATACGTAAGTAGGGCGATAAAATTAGCTTCATTTTAGTTGAAAATAATTTCAGCAAAATTATTGAGAAATTGTTGCTATGTCCCTTGTTAAACATATGGTCAAACACATTACGATATTCAAGATGTCACCAAGTCTATGCTAATGGTCTCTTTAAGAATGCAAAGAAGTTCTCCTGATGGCGAGACGCCAAAGAATTTTACAAATTTCCGGCTCGTTGACGATTGTTACCATACATGTACACCAAATGATAGATGCTCTATGGTCGTCCCTAATACCTGGTCGGTTAGAATAGTTCTGGCAAAAAGTCGTCCAATTTGTCACATAACTGTCATAGTTACTGTATATGCGCGTAGTTTATTGTCCATATAAGCGTAATCTTGATTTCTTTGTGACAAGTGCGAGCAAGAATTTTTCACTTTTTACATAATAAATACCGTAATATAGGATATTTGTAAATTTTAAATGGACAGTGGATTGAAAATCTCAACAAGGAACAGATTTACGAGAGCTAACTATAAATATTGACACTTAAGAGGCTATAAACAACCCATATGGATTTATACCAGCAACAAAATTGAAGCAATTTGCATTTTATAAACGCATTAAATTCTGAAATATTAACACTTGATCTAATGATGGGTATTACATTAGTATGCTTGAATCCTGATGCAATGAGCAACTTATGAACATCAAATCTTATGGCAATAGATTACGTTAGGTAATTAAAATTTTCTTTTTAGAACAGACTTTAAGGCCAATAATTCATGTAAATACAGGTCAAATGTGTGTTAACTTGTACAATAAATAGTAAAAAAACCTGTTCCCCTAGAAATCCGATCAAAAATGCAAACTCTTTGTGTCAGTAGACCTTTTTGCATTTAAACTAGCACATTCCTCATAAAAATACGAGTTTCGTGGAAAAACTAGTTGATCAAGAAGAAACAATAAAAATGTCATGAATTTCTCTTTTTTTCAATGTCAGCAGGTCCCACTCATTTTTATTCGTTGAAGATTTTTCGTGGTGGCATGGTTCTATTTTTGGCTTGATCTAAATGCATTTGACACATGATTAAAATATTAATGACATATCGAGCATGTTTGGTTTGATACGATTATAGGGTTTTTTTTTTGTTAAAAAACCTAAAAATTCTACAGACGCATGCCAGTTTTTTAAAACACTGAAATAATAATTGGCAAATATTTACATTTACTTAAGCAGATACGCTTATTACTAGGTGCCGATAGGTATCGAATAAATATGGCAAGAACCACTTTAAAATATGTTTTAATTTGACATAGTCATCATTATATTTATTAGGTAGATACCTACTGGAAATTATTCAGATATCCGGTAAAGGAATCTGAATAATTGATTTTTAGATTTACAATTTATTATACAACGGGCTTTATCCACTTTCAGTACAATTTCACAAGAAATTTCAATTACAAAACAGAAATAGAACTGAGAAATCTTTTAAATATATGTGCCAAAGAACATAATAAAATGAAAATCAAAAGGTAACACTTCAAATTTCCTACTTCAAAAATATTTTATGATATAAAGATTCAAACAGGATAACACAATTAAAATAACCAAAAATTTTATAAAGTCAATGCTAATCAGACTAGTTAACCACGTTACATCTCAACAGGCTCACAAAACTATCAAAATTGACATAAAAAACTCCAGATTATCTTAATAAGAATTATCCATTTTTTCTACCCGTGGAGTTAAGAAATTGAGTTCAATATGAGTACGCCTAAATGCTTCCTGAAATGTGTTCGAAGCTGCAGTATTCTTACCTGGAAACGTAATCGAAAAAATTAAAATGGGACAGTCAACCATATAGTTAATA